AGGGGCAGCTGAAGAGCTGTGAGCTGCTGGGAATGGAGGACGCCAGTTTAGTAGCTACGGGTGGTAAAAAGGGGTTAGGGCTCCCCACCCACTAGAACCTGTAGTAGTTAATTACTTCAAGACAGAAAAAGAAAACACTGTTTAGGATCTGGGTGTGACAGTCCGTACAGGGGGATGAGGCAGGAGCATCTCCACAAGCTGGAGGTCAGCCTGGGCTACCTGCTATCAAAAAATATGTATTTTTTTCAGACCTGCTTTAAACATAAATAATTACGTAAGGGCCTCTGAATGTAGCTTAGTGGCAGAGTACCTGCTTGCCTAGCATGTGTGAGGGCCCATATTCAATCCCCAGAACCAGGAGAAAACCAAAAGTAAACACTCGCTCATACTTGTGTATTTGGGGAGGGGCAAGAGAGAGAGTGAGTTTCCTGTAGAGCCTCCTTGGGGGTCTGAAAGCACCCCAAAGACAGTCCAGGGCTGGGGATGAAGCTCAGGGGTAAGGGAGCTGCTTACGTTGGAGCTCCTGGGTATAACCTAGCACAGAAAAAATAAAGTACCCTGGAAACAGTGTGCTTGGGAACCAAGTGTGGTGGTGCATGCCTGTGATCCCAACATTTAGGAGGCTGAGGCAGGAGGATTGCTGCAACTTCAAAGTCCGTTTGGGCTACACAACAAGACTCTGTCTCAAAAAAACCCCAAAAAACAAAAACAAAACTAAAAAACAGAATAAAGCAGCATGTCATACACACAAGTGGCTTCTTCCTCTGCCGATGACACACACACATCACAGCCAGGTCTCCCCAGGGTGACTTCCTTTATTGGCACCTGAGCCAAGAAATAAAAATGGCAGGATCTAGGAGGATGCCAGCACGCTGCCACCCCAAAGCTGGGCCAGAGGTGATGAAAGCCGAGGGTCAGGCAGATATCTTCATGGCTCACGCTGAGAAACAAGCTCGTAAACTCCAGGGGGAACCTGTCACTGCTCCCAGTGAACAGGCCAGAGAAGGAAGGGACGGCGCTCTTCCTCCAGCGAGCAGCCTGCGATTCCAGCTTCTAGCCAGCAGCGCGCTGGCCTGGGCACGCGGCCGGCCCATGCAGCTGTGAATCAGGTGTGTATGTGCATGTGCGTGTGCGTGCGAGAGTGTGTGCCTGGTGTCTGGGGCAGAACCCAGGGCCTTGCACCTGCTAATCACGTGGCCCCTGCCCAGAGGACACCCCGGCCTCATGCTGGTTAATCTTCAGAGAAATCCGTGTGGTTCTTTGGACTCAGAGTTTGCAGACTAGGGGTAAAACCTACTTCGTGTTCTTTCACAGAAATAGATCTCTTTCAGTAATCTAACTGCGGTGCCTTTCAACAGCCCTCACCTCCGTGTCCTGGTTGTAGCAGGTGTTCAGTAAAAATTTTTGAATTTGGGGGCCATTGTGTGGCTTTTCACCTAGTGTGCACGAGGTCCTGGGTTTAATTCCCAGCACCAACACAAGCAAAGGAGAAGCAAAAGTTCAGGAAGCTGAGGCAGAAGGATCACAGCAAGTTTGGGAGAGAACTTGGGGGCCGAGGGTTAAGACCCAAAGCGGGTTTCAGAATCAGAAAACTTTTTTTTAATTCGTCTTAGTTTTGGTTTTTCTGTCCTAGCCCCCTGCTGGGATCACAGGCGTGTGTGCCACCATGGCTAGCGAAGAAAAGGAAATGTAAGTGGTTAAAAAGCAATGCTTAAAAAAATGCTATGAGGGCCGAAGATTTAGCTCAGTGGCTTAAGCACCTGCCTTGCAAGTTCGAGGTCATGAGTTCAATCCCCAAAACCAAAACAAAAAAGCTATAAAAAGCCATATAAAAGCCATCTTTTAGAATCTAATCATGTCAATGTAGCCATTCCTACTGTTCAACCTTACACAACAACAAAAAGTTGTACTTAAAGTTATTACAAATTACACATCTGAGTTCTGACAGTTGGGTGATAACCTCCTGACATATTGCAATTTCTCAAAAGTTTTCTAGGGGGCTGGATTTAGCTCAGCGGCATAAGCACCTGCCTTGCAAGCAGGAGGTTGTGAGCTTGATCCCCGGTACTGATAAAAAAAAAAAAAAAAAAAAAAGTTCTAAGCACGAAAGCTTACTCCTAAACGCGACTCTTTTTTAAAAAAATAACTAGGCCTTATACCTATGGCCATCACACTGAGCCACCTCCCCAGTCCTATTTTTATTTTGTTCATTTTGACAAGGTCTCCTTAAATCAACAAGTCTGAGCTGGGCTCCAATTTGTGATGCTCCTGTCTCAGCTTCCCAGAGGGCCAGGATGACAGGCATGAGCCTCTGTGCTGGGCTCAGAGAAGAAATTCAAAGAAGCACAGAAAAAGGTTTCTGCTCTCCCCCAACCAGGCAGGATGTGGTTTCCACCCAGGCCTTTGATGCAAACGTACGTTAGAAACCTGTCCTTTTTAAAAGCCTGGGTGGACTTTTACTAAAGTCCTAATGTGTGTGTCAAACCCAGTGGCATCTGTGCAGGGCTCTGAGTGCTGTGCACACCTAATCTGGAAACCCCCGGCAGGGCCGCCAACCCTGCTCACCCTGCACGGAGCACCAGGGCTGTGCCAAGCCGAGTTTGCCAGGCCCTTCATCATCTCATTACCCGCGGGCTGGATCCCAAAGCCACCAGGCAAGGGAACCCTCAATCATGACCATGCCACACACCCCCCAGCCCTGACCACTAGCTGGACAGACAGCTGGACAGACAGGGCTCACTCTTCAGCCACCATCTCCTCCAGGACTCTAGGTTTCGGTTTGTTTTGTTTATCCTAAAAACTATTAATAAAAATAAGGGGATTGAAAACAGACATTTCGCCGCCCTATGTGACTTTGCATTTCGCCTTAACACTCAAACTTCCGGCTAAGAGTCCCAGTTCACACCTGCCATCCCAGCACTGGGGAGGCTGAGACAGGAGGATCACTGTGAGTCTGAGATCAGTGAGGGCTACACAGAGCTCAAGGCTAACCTGAACTACATAGTGAGACTCTGTCTCAAAATAACAAAAAAAATTGTATGTATATATATATATATATATATATATATATATTTGGATATATACAAGTGTCAACCAATTCATTCATTCTTCCTCATAAAGTTACCAAGTGAAGACATGCTCTAATCCTGCCCACATTTCTTCCTTTAAACAGTTTCTGCTCCTCACTGTGGATTCCAAGCATTCACAGAAGAGGGACCATTATCATAGCCTCCCCATATTCAGCACCCAGCTTTGATGGATATTAATTCAGGGACAGTTTTGTTTCAATACCATCTGCCCATGGCCCCCAAATGACCCAGGCACATTCAGTTTCACATCATCCATCTACATTCCAGTTCCTGTCTCCTTTCTGTTCTTTCTCTGAGACACAACCTCCCCATATAGTTCATGATGGCCTCCGACTTGTGGCAATCCTCCTGCTTCAGCCTCCTGTGTGCTGGGAGTATAGGAAGGTGCCACCACACTGAGCAGTTCCCGTTTGTTCTCAGCAACTGCTGCCTTTGCTTCCTTCATAGCCCTCCACTCTCAGAACAATTCGAGCAGAATAACACAAGCAACTGAAGCCCCCACTCTGAGCCAGAACCCAGGGCCTTCACACTGCAAGACACCCACAACCCTGTTTTAAATTTCTGAGACAGGCTCTCACTAAGTTCCTCGGAGTGGACTGGAGCTTGAGATCCTCCTGCTTCAAGCCTCTGAAGTGCTGGGAGTGCTGGGGTGACAGGCCCGCTCTACCACGCCCAACTCAACTGGAACCCTTTTCTCAGTTCTTCCTAACAAGCCCTCAGCTACAACCTCCATCCACATCACCAAGAAATCTCTTCCTCTAGTCCAGAACCCAAATCCACACAAACACAGCAGGTTTTCCCTTCCAGAATCCCGTCCTGATGTTTAAACAACTGCAAACACAAATTTCTATTCTCCGCTTAAGGACTACCACTGATTTCTCCTCCACACTAACGGATAACCTAAGAGGAGGGAAAGGGGAGAATTACTGTACAGCACCTAGAGGGGCAGGTTTTGTTTTGTTTTGTTGCTAATTATGTGTGTGAAAATGTTGACGACCATATGTTGTTTAAAATGGATATTTGCAAACATTAGCCAAAACACTGTCATGCATTCCTTTGCACAGGGGATGCTTCTTAACTGCACTTTATTCATTTAAGGGAGTTACTGCCCTCCAGATTTCAGTATTAATAACAGTAGCTGCTTCAGAGCCAAACAAATGGTTATGTAAAAACAATGCCAAAAAAAAAAAAAAAAAAGGGAGGATGCACTGTTTCTAATTGCTCCAACCTTGCTTTATTTTGACAGGTTTCCTGGCCTCATCTTGGCCCGCATCCTGCACCCCACATCGCACCACAGCCTCCTTGGAGGGATCCAAAGGTGCTCAGCAGACGCTCGTCTGGGAGGCCGACCCCGTGTGCGGCGCGGGCACCGATCCGGAGCCTCGGTTCCCTCCTTCCCGGCCACCTCTCGTCCCGCCATCTCCCGGGAGCCCGGGCGGGGGGGGGGGGTTCGCACCTCAGGGCCTCGGCGTCCCCGGGTAGCCCGGGCCCGCGACAGCTCCGCCCCCGCGGCGGACGCGCCTGCTCCCCGCGCTCTGGGGCAGTGCCGAGGGGCTCCTGCAGCCAGCGCCCCTAGGTGTCGCCGCGGCCACGACCCCGTCCCTGCCCCCGGGTCCGGGCGCTGCAGCCCCTCCAGGGCTCACCCGAGCACCCCGGGACCCCAAGCACGCCCCGAACCCTGTGGGTCCAGGATCACTGCGTCCAGGACGCTCACCCAGGGCCCTGCGCCCCAAGACCCGGGCCCCACCAGGAGTCGCCACGGGGACTGCTCAGCGCGGCCTCCACGCCCCCGGCCGGGACCGCGGGGACCGCAGCATCGCCCCGCGCTTGGCCAGGGCGGGGACCCGGCCGCCCCGTCCCGGCCCCGCGGCGCCTCCCTGCCCGGCCGCCCGGCGCCCCGGCCCCACTTACCCAGAGCTCGGCGCCCCAACTCATGGTGCAGCGCGGCGGGCCCGGGCGGCTCCGCGGGCCTCCCCGGCGATCGCCCGGCCTCCAGACCCCGCGCCCGCCGAGACCCACTGCCGCACGCCGCCGCCGCCTCCGCTTGCGGTTCCTGACCTGGGTCTCCGCGGCGACCGCCCCTCCCCGCCGCTCCCGAGCAAAATGGCCCGAGGAAGCGACTGCGCCGGCCGCCGCAGCGCCTCCGCCCGCCCCACGCCCCGGAGCGCAGGGGGAGGGGAGTGGGGCGGGGCCCTGGGGGCGGGGCATTAGGGCGGGGCGCTGGGAGCCGAATGGGGCGGGGCCTGAGCGCGGGTGGGGCCCAACGGGGCGGGGACATACTGTGGACGGGGCATAAAGGGCGGGGCCTGAAGGCGGATGGGGCACTGAGGAGCCTAACTGGGCGGGGCCAGAGGGCAGGCTGGCCCGAAGAGGGCGGGCCTTGAGGGCGGAGTGAGGTGCTGGGGAGCCGAACGGGGCGGGGCCAAAGCGCGGGCGGGGCCGGTGACAGGTTGCGCATGCGTGTCTGGAGCGCCTCGGTCACGCCCCCTCACCCAGCCCCTCCGGGCGCAGCGTCGCACAGGGCGCGGGAAGGACGCTGCGGGAGCGATGCCGGGGATGTCTCTCCGCCAGGCGCCCCGCTCCCGGGAGAGCCGCTTGGACTCAGTGCGCCCTGCTGCTGGGCAAGTCAGGACCACCGCGGTCGCTGTGGCGGGTTCGGGAAGGCGGGCTGCAGAGGCTGGCTGGCTTTCAACCAAGGCCCCGCGCCGCATCCCGGGGGAGCCCTAGCCAGCGCCCCGCCGGGTTGGCGAGGCTGCAGGGAGGCGGCCCCCCGGGCCGCGCTGCACCTGGGGACGCCGGCCCGTCCCCTCCCTCTCCGTACGCAGAGGTCCACCCAGAGTGGTTCGTGACACGCTGCGGGCAGTCGGCGGGGTGGGACCGGCTCTGCAGAGCGATCGCTGGGCACCAGCCCCACGCCCCCCGCCCCCTGCCACCCAGGCAGCGCTGTGCTGCTTCCCCGGGCCAGGCCGGAGGCCTGCCCCCCTCTATCTCTCTATCTCTCCTCCTCCCTTTCGTAACAGGGTCTCACGGAGTGGCCCCGGCTGCCCTTCTCATCCTCCTAGCCCAGCCTCCGGAGTAGCTGGAATTACAGGCTTGAGCCACCGGGCCAGGCTTCCCCACAACTTTATCTGAGTAACCATGGACTCCCCACGTAGGCCCCCATTTAAAACAATTTCAGAGGCACGTTTCTTTAACACCCCGCACACACACCTGCTTATCATTCTTCACAAAGGAGGGAACAGGAAAACCCACAAAGATAAGCCTCCTCATCACTTCCTGTGTGGGTCACACCGAAACTGACAAAATTGTCTTGCTCTGTCTCCTTTGGGTCACCTCCCCCTACTCTCATTCCCTTTATTTATTTATTTATTTATTTATTTAGAGACAAGGGCTCACTATAGGGCTGCGCTTGAGCTCACTATGTAGCCCAAGTCAGCCTAGAACTCCTGGGGATCCTCCTGCCTCAGCCTCCCAAGTGCTGCGATTAGAGTCATAATAGGCATTATGTCTCTATCCAGTTGCCAGAGTTAAGTGCCCTTTGTTCCAGAGACAAGTAGATATTTAATAATCCTAGTAGCCAGCCACCTCCCTACCATGACAGATAAATGGTGACTGGGTTGGAGGGGCTGGGAATATAGGCAATACTGCTGCACCTTTACTGTGCTCAAATGTGGCCATCGTTGAGGAAATACAGGTTCTCTAACAATCCCAACCTTGGTAATCACCTTCTTTTCCTTCCAGCCAAATCTTGAGTGTTTTTTCAGTTAAATATAGTGGTCTGATCTTGACTGAGATGTCTCAAAAAGAGTAGCCACTTGCAAAATAGGCTAATCTCGAGGCAGGACAATGTACTATCTGAAAGAAAGAAAAGAAAAGAAAAGGATAGAAAGAAAGAAAAGAGGAAGGGAGCACAAGACAAAAGATGAAACTGTTTAAGATGAGGAAACAGGAAGTTGTTATAGGAACCCAGTAAAAGCCATGACCAGCCAGAACAGGGTGAGCCAGAGTTTCTGCCATCGTGCTGCAGAAGTCTTCAAGCTGCCTGGGTCCTGGTGGCACTGGACTCAGGCCTACAGAAGCTGGAATCTTCACACCGTAAAGGAGGAAGACGTTCTTCACCTTGAAGCACTGGGGGTAACAGGGCCCAGGACAAACAGTCATAAGTCAGCAGGAAAAAGATACAGTGAGTACTGAGTGGTATTTTTTTTTTTTCAGAGAGAGAATTAAATCTGTTGCAGTTTTGCAGTTTCCTTTAGAGCAAGAGGGAATGGTTAGGAGACCAGGGATTCTCCAGGGTGTGGGAGCCCACGCCTATTATCCCAGCACTTGGTAGGCTGAGCAGGAAGATGGCTGTGAGTTTGAGGCCAGCCTGGGCTACAGAACAAGATCCTGTCTCATAAAACAAACAAAAATAAATAGAACAAATACAGATTAAAAATTTAAAAAGTGCTCGGAGTGTAACAAAGCAAAAGCTCTCAGTTCAGTGCCCAGTAACCACACATACACACAAACACACACCCTACTGTGACCTGACACACTTAGGAACCCACTCTCATCAGTGGTATCCTAAACCTTGCACAGGTTAATGCTGGAATCACCTAAGGGCTTAGTTTGGGTCATGTAAGTCTATTTCACTCTTGGTAATATTCAGCGAGTGCTGGTTTACCAAGTTATAATCTTAGCAGGAAATTGTATGTTGCCACTGAGTAACCTGATTACGTGAAAATATTAGCACTGACAGAGGTATTGGGATAAACAGAACAGAGGCACTGAATAGGCTTCCATGTGGTAAGAAGCAAGCAATTGCATGACAGCTTTTTTTTTTTTTGCATGATGGCTTTTTGTCAATGAGTGGCACATGTGCCGGGGCTGGCTGGCTATTTTGCAGGAAGCTCTAACAGGCTCGCCGTGGACACTCTGGGCTAGCATGGCTAGGCAGAGGCACTCCATGCTGGAGAACTCAGCCCAGACAGCTGTCCAGCTGTCTTCTCATTCTCAATTTCCTCTTAAAAGAAATAATGCTGCTGTCTTTGCAGATTATTGCAAAGATTAGAAAGAAACTGCACAAAATGCTTAGCACTGGGACACAGTGCTGCCTGCCTTTGCCTTCTGCCTTTACTTACTATGCCAGGAAAGCAATTCTTTAAGAATTTCTGATAGGATAAAATACCCTCCCTGAACCACAGTCGCTGGTTGGCTCCTGGGAAATATTAGCCAATAAAATTCAGAAATTGAAATAAAAGCTTCCGGCGGGGGCACAGCTCAGCAGCGCAGTGTCTGCCTTACAAGTGTGAGGTCCTGAGTTCGATCCTCAGTACCAAAACAAAAGCTTCCATCTAGTTTTTGCTTAAGAACCACCCTCCACCCTTTTTTTATTTTTAGATAAGGTCTCACTATGTCACTAAATTGTTCAGGCTGGAGTTGAACTCGAGATCCTCTTGCTTCAGCCTTCTAGATTACAGAAATCACCCTCAAAACCCAGCTGAAATTTCCTATTTCTTTAGCATTCAAGTTACAGGTGCTTCTCCACTTTGAGGTTTCAACCCCTATAAACTCATTTTAAGTTAAAGATATCACCAAGTCCAAGGTGCATTTCACACTCCTGCAAGTCCGTTGTACAGTTAAAACCTGTCAAGTTGAACCACGTCCAAGTGGATACTGTGTGCTTACTAAGGACCCTAGAAAGTAGTCAAGTAGAAGTTGGAGAAGAATAAACTAGGAAGTTCGGGCTGAGCACCATCAGGAACCAGTTTCCAGTCCTGACCACCTTAATCCCCTGCAGACATGCTCAAAGCAAGGAGGATCTGGCCGCCGCTGGCCAGCAGGTCAGACCTGCTGGGACTGCATTCTGGAGGTCTTGCAGCTTGGACCCAATACACAGGATTCAAGATGCCAAGGGCCACTGTCCTAGCCTCCTGCTTGCCAGGTCCTGGCTTTGCCAAGAAGGCCCCTTCCTGCAAGAGAGACCTGAGACCTCTCCCATGCCCAAGAGTGGCTGAAACTTCAGCTGCACCCCTGGAGCAAAACATTCAGCAGACCAGGAATGAGAGTGCTGTGGGATTCTTGAGGGATTAGCAGGCCCTTTTGCCTCTAGTTCCTCAGTGCTCAGGGAAGTTTGGGTCTGAAATGTCAGTGTGTTTGTTGTTGAGAAATTATGTAGTTCGGGCTGGCCTCGGACACACAGCGCTCCTCCTGCCTCAGCCTCCTGAGTTATAGGCAGGTACCAACCACTACACTCAGCTGAAATGCCAATTCCTTTAATAAGAGAAACAAATGGCATGCCAAGTGTAGTGACCCATGCCTGTAATCCCAGCACTCGGGATGCTGAGGCAGGAGAACAGACAGTTCAAGACCAGCCTGGGCTACAATGTGAGTTCAAGCCAGCCTGAACTGTATAGCAAGACCCTGTCTCAAAAAGAAAAAAAAAATTTTTTTTTTGTCTTTTTCTTTTTTATCGGTACCGGGGATTGAACTCATGACTGCCTGCTTGCAAGGCAGGTGCTTATGCCGCTGAGCTAAATCCCCAACCCCTAAAAATTTTTTAAATTAAAAAATAAAGTTGGAGAGCATTAACCTATGAGTTATGAAAAAGGTCTTTGGAAATGTCCAATGTCATCAGTAGCACCGCATTCAAAGTATGCATTCTGAAAAATAAATAAATAAATAAAATAAACAAAAAGTATGCATTCTGGGACTTGTGGCAACCTTCAGTTAATCCTGCAAAGCTACAGAAAATAGCAAAATAGGGGCTGGGGATTTAGCTCAGCTGCATAAGCGCCTGCTTTGCAAGTGTGTGGTCGTGAGTTCGATCCCTGGTACTGATAAAAATGAAAAAGACAAAAAAATAAAAAATAAAACGCACTTGACTAAGAGGGTGAGACCCAAAGCCAAGTTTGTGTCAGTCTCCCCTGCCCCTCTAGGCTTTTCCAGTCTGTCCCCTTTGAAGACCCTAGCAGGAGAAGCAGGCATAACTTGTTCTGTCACTCAAGGAGTCTGTTTCCACTCATGATACCATGATTATGCAAATACTCTTTCCTTGAAGCTCTGAAGTCACATGTCTAAATGTAATTGCCAAACTCTCAGTTTTCTCAGAGTTGAAAAAGTAACTGGCCAGAGTTGGGTGTGGTGTCGCACGCTTGTAACTTCAGCATGCTGGAGGCTGAGGCAGGAGGATCCTTGAGTTCGAAACCAGTCTGGGCTACATAGTGAGTTTGAGTTCAAAGCCAGCCTGAACTACATAGACCTTGTCTCAAAAAACAAACAAAAACAAAAACAAAAAAGGAATTAGGCCTGCATGGTGGGCACATTCCTATAATTCCTGCACTTGGGAGGCTGAGGCAGGAGGATTGCCATGTTTAAAATTGGATTATTGTTTTTTTTTAAATTTTCCGCTTCTTTATACTTGGTAATTATGATGTGACTGCCATTGAGTCAAGCCAACTATACCTGCCCAGGGGTTTGTAAGGAATTTCTTCCTTCATATATTTAAACCATACTGTCCCAACCGTTTATCTTGAAAATGAGAGGTACAAAATGGGAAAATTGAGACAGAACCAGGTGTGGTAGCACAAGCCTGAAACCCTAGACACAAAATTCCCAGTTCAAGCATAGTGTATGCAAAAACCTGCAAACAAAAATCCTGAAGAAGGGCTGAGGATGTGGCTCAGTATAAGGGCCCTGGATTTAATATGCAGCCCTGCTGAGGCTGAGGCAGGAAGCTCAGGAGTTCCAGCATAGTGGGCTACATAATGAGGCCCTGTCCAAAACCAAAACAAAACAGAAAAAACAAAGGAAGCTTGTCAAGTTGTTTCCCAGAAACAAAGTCATCTACTTTGAAACTATTTTAATGTCTCACCACTATATTATTAGATGGAATTAAGATGTCACACCCTTGAGCTCATGGTGATCCCCCTGTCTCAGCCTTCTAAATGCTGGGATTATAGGCATGTGCCACGGAAGGTCTATTTACTTATTTATTTGTGGTCTTTTTTTTTCTTTTTTCTTTGGTAGCAGGGACTGATCTCATGACCTCAGACCTGCCAGATAGGCACTTATGCCACTGAGCCCTATTTTTGGTCTTTTTGAGACACAGTCTCACTATACAGTTCAGGCTGGATATGGTTCACTTTGTAGCCCAGGCTGACTTCAAACTTGCAATGCCACCTGCCTCAGTCTCTCAATTGCTGGGATTATAGGCGTGTACCTGTCATGCCCGGTTACACAGGTCTGATTTTAATGATAGGTGCTAAAAATTACCCCACTGATAATGTGATCCTGAGCAAGTTATTTAAATTCCCAGGAATTGTTTTCGCAACTGTTACATAAAGTGGATCTTGATTATCCAAAGACCTTTCAGCCTAGTACAATGTGTTCTTTCTTTATAGGAACACAGCCTGCAGATTATGCCCGGGGGTTTGTGAATGGAGCCTGGATGAGAGCTCTAGCCGGGTCATTTCGAAATCAGAAGACTGGGGCTGGGGACTTAGCTCAGAGTCACGGCATGTGTCTAGCAAGTGCAAGGTCCTGCATTCAATTCCCAGTACCAAAAACAAAAAAATCAAGAAAACTTGCCTTGGAATAAATTAGTTAATCTAACCAAACCTCATCTGAAATAAATGTGATAAGAATATATCTTTTCAGAGGCTGAGGCAGGAAGGTTGCTGCATGTTTGAGGCAACTGGGCTACAAAGTGAGTTCAAGGCTACACTGAACTGCATAGTGAGATCCTATCTCAAAAAATGGAAACAAACTATCTACCTATCTACCTTCTAAGGTCTTTGGGACCTTAGATGAGACAATGTAAGCCATACCTAACAGAATACTGGACATATTTAATTCTCGGTAAGTCTGGTATCTCCCAGTGGACCCACAAGACCCTAACTTCAGAGTTCCTCAGGACAAGCTCCTGCCATGTGTCTAGAGGTCAACCTTGGGCCCAGGGAACTGAGGGTGTTGTGTTATGAAGAGATTTGTGGCTCAGTGACTCAGATTTGAACCCAGAGGGCCCAGCAGGATGGAAATGAGCTGGACGAAGCTGGCTCTGGCTTGAGGCTGTCATCCACCCAGATTCTGCTGGGAGGACAGATGGGCACCATCCAAGAATGAAGGCAGAAAGGTGAGGAAAGACAACCAGCTGCTGCCATGGCGGAGACAAGTGTGCTGCGGGCACAGATCCTGTATTGTTCCTGCGGTGAAGGATGCCCACTAGGGCAGGATCCCTGGGAATTCTGATTGTCGAGGGCAATTGCTTTGCAGTGTTTTGGATGGCAAAATTTCCACTGCAGGGGCCTCGATTCTTCTCATGAATCATAAATTTTATCTAGAAAATGGACTGTTGAGGAAACAGCACAAGAGCACCCTTTAAAACTGGAATATGTGCCGGGTGTGGTGATGCACACCTGTAATCCCAGCACTTGGGAGACTGAGGCAGGAGGATCACCATGAATTCCAGGCCAGCCTGGGCTACAGAGCAAGACCCTTGCTGTTTTTGTTACTTTTGAAGTTGAGGCTTTCCTCCTGAAAACAAGAAAGCAATGTGATGGAACTGAAGAAAACGGTGAAATTGCTTTTACGTACTTTTCACTACTGGCTCTGTATCCACGCTCACATGTAGCATTTTAAATGACAGAAGCTGGGCTGGGGATTTAGCTCAGCGGTATAAGCGCCTGCCTTGCAAGCATGCAGCAGGTACCAATAAACAAAACAAATAAATGATGGAGGGCCTGATGTTCACACCTCTGACAGCACACACTGTGCTGACTTTCCAGGACTGCTAACAGGAAGGGTTTCATTTTTCTAAAACTTGAATTTGGGGGCCGGGGGTTTGCTCAGGGGCATAAGTGCCTGTTTGGCAAGCATGAGGTCGTGAGTTCAATCCCCAGTACAAAGCAAAACAAAACCTTGAATTTGGTGTAGGAGGGGCTCCTATATGTCAGCTGACTAACTCGCTGTATAAGGCTATTATGAATGAAAGAAGTAATGTATCATCTTGGGCACATAATAAGTTTTTATTTTAATCATGTGGTTGGAGTCCCGCATTTCACAGTCACAATTCCACCTTCCAATTTAACTTATTAGTTCATTCTTGACTCCTCAGACTTCAACATTCTCTTGTTAGGAAACCAACTGAACAGTGCCGTAAAACAAGTGTTTCCAAACTCTTTTGAGAACAAATTTCTGCTTTTTAAAAATTTTTTTGGAAACAGGGTCTCACTACATTGCCCAGACTGGCCTTAAATTCCCTATGTAGCCCAAATCAGCCTTGGTCTGACAGAGATCCTCCTGCCTCAATCTCCTGTGCTGGGATTACAGGTGTGTGCCAGCATGCCTGGCTGCTGGAGTTTTACTATGACACGAATATAATGCTGCCTTAAACCTAAGGGCTACTGTGAAGAAAAATACAAATGACAAAGAAATGCAGTGGTTTTTTTTTTTTTTTTCCAGAAGAATGCTTGAGAATACACGATTTAAATTTCTAGACAGTAGTTTCAGACATAGCCTGAATTTAGGTTTTCAAAATCGTAGTGCTGTATTCTTTCCTTTATGTCAAAAAGAATTTTATTTCAAAAGGGCCGAGGAACGCTGGGCATGGTGGTGCAGTGCTCTGGAGGCTGAGGCAGAAGAATTGTTGTGAGAATGAGGCCAGCCTAGGCTACACAGTGAGTTCAAGGCCGACCTGGACCACAGAGACCAAACCAAAAGGAAAAGCCCCCAAACTCTGTTTTTCCCCAAAAACTTACTTTTCTTTTTTTGTGGTACCAGGGATTGAACTCACACCCTCGCACTTGCCAGGCAGGCGCTTATGCCGATGAGCCGCTTATCCCTGGCCATTCCCCCAAAACTTTTAAGACTCTGACACTGTAATAAAATACACTAGTAATGCACTTGGTAACCACTTCGTATCGGACTCCTGGCGGATTTTACTTTCTCTTGTTTTGCTTAAGTGATTACACAAACATAAAACACACTCACTACTTGCACAAGCTAAAAAGAATCTGAAAATTAAATAAACCTGGCTAGTCTGTTGGCATTTTCAGAAGCGTTCTCCTATAACTCTTTCATAAAGAGAGGAGAATCCTTCCAACCAAAGAGCTGGCAGTGAGTTCTAATGAGCAGAAGGAAAGTTTTCCCGTAGAACTGGGCGAAAAGGTGTCAAGGCTGAGACTCCAGCGGTGGGATGGAACGGAATGGGATGCGCCAAAGCCACACAGGAGTCGCTTCCCTGTGATTCCCAGCTCAACCCGGAACGAATTACCTATTTCTCAGAGCCTCTGCTAGCTTACCTGTCCAGGGAACAGTGACAACATCCACTTCCTATTGATCAGATTGTTCCAAGGATCACCTGGCACAGAGCACCTGGAACCTGCTTTGTAAAGGTACCACGAATCCTATCATTGCAAGAATTTCCCTGGGAAACATTTACATCCTTCGCCAACGCAACGCTCAGTACCATTAGTCCCATGGCCCGCCAAGTACAGTGTGGCAGCCGCGGAGTGAGCCCACCCCGCACAGGGAGACCAACTGAAAGGCCCCAAGGTGGCCAATTTAGGCCTCGCGGTGGATTCTCGGAGTCGCATGCTCCAGCCAGAGGACCACAGAGAGATAACAGCCCGAGACCCAGCAGTCGCCACCACCGCTGTAGTCCCTCGGGCACTTCCGGCGGTCCTCGCCCTTTGAGCCGGAAGTGGACTAGCGAGGAAGCAGCTGGTGATGCGGGAGCAAACATGGCGGCCCTGGCGCCCTTCGGCCCAGCGGGCGCTTGCTGTCTGCGCCTGGCCGCGGGCCTCCGGCTGCTTTCGATACTAGGGCTGCTCCCGCTGCTGGCCGAGCCCGGCCTGGGCCGCGTCCACCACCTGGCACTCAAAGTAAGGCCGGGCAGGGCTGGGCAGGGCTGGGCAGGACCGGGCCGGGGGCGGAGGCCGAGGCCACTCCTCCGGGACTGGGGGCAACTTCGGCTCCGCTGGGCTTCCGAGTGCCTTGTCCCCCCCCCCCCCACACCGTGTGCTTCTCAGCCGCGACGCTGTCGGGAATGGGAGCCGGCGGGGTGAACGCAAGACGCGGGGTCCCTGGGCTGCATTTTGTGTGGGGCGGGGACACTGGGGCTGACGGTGGGGAGGGGGCTGCGTATGCGGCGCGACGGGGAGGTCGCGGGCGGCTGCCCTCTGGTCTCTCCTGGCTTGTGTAAACCTCTCTCCCTGCAGCCCCATCCCACCTGTCGCGGCCGCGGTTTCAGCTCTTCCGTGCCCTTGTACCTGGTGACTTGAAGGTTTGCGGAACCTTAGCCTCAGTTTGCCGGTTCTGTCAGGGCTCGTGTTGCAGGATTCCCGGAAGAAATTTCAAATATCACTTGAAATACATCTCTACAAACAAAAAGAGAAAGAACAAAATAAAATGAGAAATTTGGGTTAGGCCTAATTCTTGCTTTATACTGCGATCCACAGTTAAAAGTCCTCGAAGTCTTAGTGTGTATCACGAGGTGATTCAGTAGCTTAGCATATCAGGGAAATGGAAAAGTACTTCGTTGGACTCAGAACCTTGTACGTTACTTTCATAGTGCATAGTTAACAAGTTTATGGGCTTGTCCAAAGTTTATCTTCTAAAGAAAGACACATTCCGTTAACCACGAAGCATTGCATTTTGTGAAGGTGGAGTATTTTGTAGATCTAGATTTAAGAACCTGACCGGATTCATAGAACTATACTTTGGATATCAGCTTTTGTTGCTTACAAATAAGAATTATTCCGATGAAAATGGTTCTTAACCATAGGAAAATAGGTGAGTTTTAGTTCCTTTTTGATAATCTGTTACGAGCTATAGAAATTCTTCCCAGGGAAATGCATATTGAAACGACACAGAATGCGCTTAGGTTTTATAAGCCTGGTGAAGTGTATCTACGGTCCCGGCTCCCACAGTAACTCCAGAAGCCAAGGGTGGTGGCTTATGCCTGTAATATCTGCTACCTGAGAGGCTCAGGCAGAAGGATTGTGCCGAGTTCATCGCTAGCCTGGGTGATAGAGCTAGACATTCCCTCTCAAAACAAAAATAAACAGCACAAACTCCTAGGCTTTAAAGTTCTGCCATTATATAGTTTTAAGATTTTGAGTCTTTTAAGGAGTGAGCAGAATTCTTTTTTATTTATTTATTTATTTTTTGTCTTTTTCGTTTTTATCGGTACCGGGTATCGAACTCACGAACGCCTGCTTGCAAGGCAGGTGCTTATGCCGCTGAGCTAAATCCCCAGTCCCCGTGAGCAGAATTCTTACAGCTTATAAATTAGAGGCAAAGTGTCAGCGAGAAACTCAAGGACTATGTCTCCTAGCTTTGAGACACAGTGGTCAGTGTCTCCTAGTGCTCTTTCTACATTTCTAGAATTAAAATAACATGGCTGGCATCATGAGCTATCTTTTCGATGTCTGTAGGTAGAAAATTTTACCAACCTCTGTGGTAGAAGCAAACTGAATCTGTGTAATTCGACTTACTCATTCCTGTCTGTTCTGTTAAATTACTTAATGATTCCATCTAGGTAATGTGCGTTCCAAGTATCATTGTGCTCCTTCTGTGAGTGATTCTGGATTGTTTTCTCTTAAACATTCTGTTGTCTTGCCCAAGGAAATGAAGATCACTGGGAGAAGCCTGTAGGAACAGCATTAGGTCGTCTGTTTTGCTTGAGATTGGTTAGAGATCCACACTAAAGAGGTCAGTGAACACCCACAATGTGCACGATGGTTTAAAAAAAATTACCAGGAAGGATTTAAAGGACATCAAGACAAGTTAGAATCGTGTCAGCTGACCTCACTGACCTTCACTGGGTAGTGAATTCCGCCTATTCCTACACACATTTGTTTGTTGCCGTTTTTTTAGTTAGTTTTTTAGTTAGTTTTAGTTTAGTTAGTTTTTTAGTTTAGTTTTAGAATCCTTTCATTTTTATTTAATTTTATTATATTCCATTACTCTTCTGGCTTTCCCAGGTTGCTCACATTCCTTCTTGACCTTTCTTTTTTTGTTTTGTTTTTTGAGACAGGATCTTGCTATGTAGTTTAATTTTAAAAGTTATTTCATTCTTTTGCTATATAGTTTTTTTATTTGTTGCTGGTTTTTTTAATCCCCCCTTTAGTCCATTCCAATTGGTCTTGTTTTTGAGACAGAATTTCACTGCTGCTCAGGCTGGTCTTGAACTCACTTTGTAGCCCAGGCTGGCCTGGAACTCGAAGCAGTCCTCCTGCCTCAGCCTCCCAAGTGCTGGGATTATAGGTGTGCGCCACCACACCCAGCCCTTCTTTTCTTTTTGAAGCTGGGTTTCTCTTGAACTCATTTTGTAGCCCAGGTTGACCTTGAATTTGCAGCGATCTTCCTTTGTCATCCTCCCAAGCGCTGAGATCACAGGTGTGCACCACGGTGTCCAGCTGCTATGTAGTTTAGACAGGCCTTGAACTTAACTGTATAGTCCAGGCTGGTCTTTTTTTAAAATTAACTTTATTGGTAATTTTAGGTCTACATAACAATCATTTTTACTATATGTGATGTATGTTGATTCTTTTTTCCCTTATCCCTTCCCTTCCTAGAACACCTTTCCCCCTATTTACAAAAGCTTTGTTTCCATTTTTTCCTTCTCTTTTTCCCTTTCTTTAGTTCCCCTTCTAAATTGAACATTTTCTTCCTATTTCACAATGTCTGTTATACATTTTGGTCCTTATTTACAGTTTTGCTTTCTCACACCAGAGAAACCATGCAATATTTATACATGTGTGTCTAATTTTTTTCACTTAAGAATATGGTCTTGGGGCTGGAGATTTAGCTCAGCGGCATAAGCGCCTGCCTTGCAAGCAGGCAGTTGTGAGTTCAATTCCCAGTACCAATAAAAAGGAAAAAGACAAAAAAAAAAAGAATATGGTCTCAAGGGGCATCCATTTACTTAGGAATGTCTTGAGCTTCACCTTCCTTGTGGCAGAGTAGTACTCTATTGTGTTTAAAAAAACCCACACATCTTTATTCATTTACCAGTTGATGGGCATTTGGGCTGTTTCCAGGATTTGGCTATTACAAATTATACTGCTGTAAACTTGAGTTTGTATATATTGCTGTGGTTATGATACTTTTAATTCTTTCAGAAAGATACCAAGAAAGGAAATAGCTAGGTTAAATGGAATTTCTAGTCCTAGTTTTTTTTTTTTTCCTTTTAATCTTTTTGTACGTGTGTGTGCTGGGGATCAAACTGACGACCTCGAGTTTGCCAAGCAGGCACTCATGCCGCTGTGCTAAACCCCTGGTCCACTAGTCCTAGTCCTCCATGTTGTATGTACCATTTATCAGTGGCCACCTACCCTCCTTGAATGCTGCTCCACTGTACTGATAGATCTTTTGCTTAGCTGATCCCTGCCAGGGCTGCTTGGGTTGCTCCACTTTCTGACCACTGTGAATGACGCTGCTATAGGTACTCGTGTGCAGGGTTGTACGTGGGTCCCCCAGTCCTGTACAGGAGATGAGCCCAGGGCCTTGTACTTGCCAGGCGAGCTCTCTGCCACGGAGCCACGGCCCAGCCCCGGCCAGAGCCAGGACTCTTGTAAGTTTCCCAGGCTGGCTTCAGAGGTCTGCGCCCTGCCTTGGCCTCCTGAGAGCTGTGATACAAAGTCTTGATGACGGCTAATTCTGGCTTCCAGGAGACTCTGCACGGGAAGCAGAGGCCAGAAAGAACCTTGCTACCATTTGGAATGCTTTGAATTCCGGCAGTTTTTGGGTTGGGCGTGAGTGGAATGGACCTGGGTTAGAAGTGTGACTGCCAGTGCCTGTGACTTTTGGGCTGGTCACATGAGAAGCCCCGGTTGGATATGGGCCGGAAAAGAGGGTAAAGCCAAAGAAACCAAATAGTTTGTACCAGAGCCGGTTTGTCTTGGCAGTGGTTGTGCTGTGGGCTGAACTTGGGGCTTCACAGGGAGCTGCGGCCTGAGACCTTTCTCTTTTTCTTTCTGGGGCTCCTGCTGCTTGGTTGACTGGCTAGTGCATGCAACGGGCATCACCCTGTCTCTGTGTCCTGGGATGCTGGCGTGTGTTGCCCACCTCCACACCCACACCAGGGAGTGCCAGCAGTGCAAAGTGGTCAGAGCTAGAGAGCAAACAGCGATGGGAGACCCTGGCAGCAGGCAGCGGGGGCCCTCTAGACCGGAAGGTGGAGAGAGGGACTCCTGTGGCCAGACTGTGTCCACCAAGGGTCCACACAGGGCCACGCAGCGCCCTGGGGGCGGGGCTGGCAGGGCTGCAGTATAAGTTTGTGGCTGGACACAGGACACCCATCTGGTCGCTGACCGAGGAGCTGCTCCCTGAGGAGGGGCCAAGAGCCAACCTCTGCTGGCGCGTGTGACTGCGCTGTCTGTTGAGTCACCTGCCCTGTGGCGTCCCTGTCCTTCCGCGGAGGAGTGCAGGGGGTTACATGGGATGGGCACCGGGAGAGGATCAGCCGGGGCGTCAGGAGCCCAATGTGCAGCTGAGGCTGGGGGAGTCTGTGTGTTAGGAACGGAATCGGCCAGGAGGAGCGTGGGAGCAGCAGGAGGGTCCTCGGAGGGGACAGCGTGGGCCGGTGGCAGGAGGTTGTCCGTGCAGCGTGGAGGGATGAAGCCCCCGCACTCCCCTGCGGCCTCGGAGCCCCATCCCAGGAGGCCTCACGTTGGGAGAGCCTTGGGTTCCTCTGGGGCCAGGGCTGGCGGAGCAAGGCTGGCTTTCTAAGGAGGTTCATTTCCCCGGGGGCCATGGTTGGCATGGGCGGAAGAGGAGGGGTCGGGCCTCGCTGCGCATGGAGGGTGACGGGCAGGCAGATAGGGCGAGGGTGGGCAGGAAGGCGAACTCGGTGCCTCCACAGGGGCGTGTCTAGGGT